GGTGGCGTAAGAGACTGTAATACCTGTGGGAGCTTGTGATGCCTACAGACTTATTTCCATAGAAGGGGAAAAGACGAGTTGTCCAGTCTTTCCACCTATGAGCTGTGTACTCATCCACCAGCATTGTTTGCCTCTGATGGACTGATGCGGGAAGCAAACAAGCCAGATTTAGCCGAAGCAGTCTGGAAATGTGTTGGTCCCATTACTAGTGACATGTCCATTGAGGTTAAGTATGTTATTGATGGAGGTTCACTTTTACAGACAATTCCATGGCCACAAGTACTAACATACAAGGGCATCTGCAAACCTTACCTGGATTACACTGGCCGCAAATATGGTAAAAAATCAACAGTTGTTTTTGATGGCTATCGAGATAGACCATCAACAAAAGACACAACTCATCTTAGGCGTTCAATAGGTAAAATGTCTACTAGTGTTAACTTTGATTGTGACATAAAAAAACAACAGTACTTTGCAAATGCAGCAAATAAGCAGCAGTTTTTTAATATCCTGAGAACTGAACTGGAAGTAAAGGGAATGAAGTTTCGACATGCTGAAGAAGATGCAGATGTCCCTATAATGATGACAGCTGTAGACTCTGCTGTCAATGCACCAATAGTAGTTGTAGGTGCGAACACGGACTTGTTAGTTTTGTTGATGTACCATGCCAACTTAAATAGTCACAAACTGTATTTAAAACCAGAGGCATGGCGAAATACAAAAAAACGAAGTTAAAGTGTGGGATATAAAACATACCAAAGACAAACTAGGGCCACTTGTTTGCAAAAACATATTATTTATACATGCTGTCTTGGGCTGTGACACCACATCCAGGATATATGGCTTAGGAAAGGGTCTATCCTTGAACACATTCCAAACCAACAAGCAGTTTCAATGTCATGCTTCAGTGTTTGACCAAGATGATGCTTCAAAAGACGACATTGTGGATTCAGGAGAAAAGCTTTGGTCCTTTTATATGGTGGCAAGTCAGATGAAACATTGGATTCACTCACAATGGGAAAATTCTTTCAGAAAGTTGCTACAAGTGTTACATGTGTGGGGCCTGAGAATATTACACCAACATCTGCAGCTGTAGGTTACAATAGTCAACGGGTATACCAACAGTTTCTGAAGTGGAAAGGGCAAACTCATGTTAATCCAGAAGAATGGGACTGGAAAGTGAAGAAGGGAACATTGTTTGCTATCCAAACTGACAAGCCTCATACACCTGACAAATTACTAAAAGTTATCAGATGTAAATGTAAAGCAGACTGTCGAACGACACGTTGCACATGTAGAAAACATGGACTAAAATGCTCTCCCATGTGTTATGAATGTAGAGGTGTAAGCTGTAGAAATTCACCCAATCTGGATCTTGATGATGATCAACTATATATTATAAACTTAGAATTATTGTAGTGTCCGTATAAATTTCACAAAACTGTAAAGCCTCGTATAAATGTTATTGACTCAATGAAATATATAGACACCACTGTTGACAGGCTATGAGTCTCCCACGTCAACGTATTCTTCAGACAGTTATGAAACAACAGTTTCCCTTTAAGTTATGCTTTATTCCTATTCACCATACCAGTTATGACATGTATACAGGCTGAATAGTACTCTGATGCTATAGAATGATTGACTGCAAAAATACAAACAATACAAAAAATAGAATGTCACAAAGTCTCACCAAGCATTTCTCAATGCTACAAATACAGCTCCATAAGTGCACACAGAAAGGGAAATATATCAACAGTAGTCCTCAGGCAACAAGAAAAAATACACATACTTTTCAGTAAAAAACCTTCATGTACATAAAATACCACACAAATTCAGAAAATGACAGTACAGAATATATCATTCATGAACCACTGAACTATTATTATTTGTAAACTGGCATTACTGGGCGTCCGGCTGTGATCACTAAGAGAATGCGTGATCACCCAACGTGGTTGCAACATGTTATTACATCATCAACACAACTCTGCCGCATGGAGAAACGACTCGCTAAAAATATAACAAGATTAATCTGCATTAAGTGTCTCTCGCCATACTTGTATATCTACCCAGCTATCAACTAAACGTTGATTGCTTTGTAAACTGTAAACTTGCCAGTCTTTCGAAGTTTCTGTACAAAACTTAACCAACGCTATGTACAACTGCATACGATTGATTTCTTGCAATAACCACCTGGCTTGTTTTTTCAAGTTCTACTTCCCGTCTCACCTCCAATGCTACCATAGGTGGCGCTCTAACCACGTAGTATCGTGAATAAAATTAGCGGATTTAAGAGAGCAAGTACAATGTAACAGGAATGATAAACTGAGTTAAATAAGTTCGTTTTGGCCATAACATTCCGGCCCCCTAATTGTACAGACTTAGTCGAACCAATTATTTAAAACTAACTAATGGCCAAATCTAATTAAAGTATCACTAAAAAAAAAACAAAAACAAAACAAAACAAAAAAAACATTAAAGTGCGAGTCAGCCAAAATCCACCCATGAGGTAGCCAAAGCAATCACAGGAGCTTGATGGCATCAACGCAGCCCCCGCACATAAACACGCACAGCGCCACCCACCACGGAAGACACACCCGCAACAGGCCACCAAGCACTCACGAAGGACTGCTAACCGCAAACTTAAACATCACCGACCTGTGGCTTAGGACCATCAAATCCACCATCAGCATCATCAGATTCCAGTAGCAAACATAACTTGTCCACTGGACGCAAATACACATTGGTCTTCGTCTTAACTTTAACCATTCGAACCAGCCCCCTTCGGTCCTTCATCACCTCCACTACCTTTCCCATTGGCCAGATGTTTCTTGGGACTGAATTATTTATGACAAGGACAATATCCCCCAAAGCCAGGTTTCGTCTGGGGTGAACCCATTTTTGTCTTTCCTGCAGCGATGGTAGGTACTCATTTAGCCATCTCCTCCAGAACACATCTGCCAAATATTGTACTTGGCGCCATCTACGTTTCACGTATGTGTCTTGCTTCTCAAATACACCAGGAGGCAGGGTCTGATTTGCATGCAGCAACAGCAGGTGATTTGGAGTTAATGCTTCAAGATCATTAGGATCTTCTGATACAACTGATATGGGGCGTCCATTGATAATAGCCTCCACCTCACAAAACAGGGTCTGAAGTGCTTCGTCATTCAAGTATACTGTTTGTTCCTTAAAGAGTGACACAAGAATCTTTCGAATCGTTCTAATTTGTCGCTCCCATATCCCGCCCATATGTGATCCAGCAGGAGGATTAAATCTCCACTCAATATGATCTTGCCGAAGTATGCTTCCAATCTTTTTGTGGTTCCATTTATTAAGTTCCTCCTGCAGTTCTCTTTTGGCACCTACAAGGTTAGTACCGTTATCTGATCTTATAGACTGGACATTCCCTCTTCTGGCTTTAAATCGCCTAAGAGCATTAACACAAGAATCAGTATTCATTGAATACGCAACTTCCAAGTGGACTGCACGTGTTGCCATGCAGGTAAATACAACACCATACCTTTTAACAGTACAACGACCTCGTCTGACCTCCAAAGGCCCAAAGTAATCAACGCCGGTATGCGTAAATGGAGGGTTATCTGGTGTGACACGCTCGGATGGCAGATCCGCCATTTTTTGTTCACCTATTTTGGCCCTGTATCTTCGGCACACAATGCATCTGGCTACAGCTCTCCTCACTAAGGTGTTGGCACATAAAATCCAATACTTCTGACGGAGACTGTTCAGCATAGCATTCCTACCAAGATGTCCAACAGATTTATGTACAGCATCTATAATGAGATGTGACACAGGGGAGTCTTTGGGTAGAACTATTGGATGTCTAATACTCTCTGATAATACTGCACGTTCCAGGCGGCCTCCAACTCGAATGAGTCCATCTTTTACTACTGGATCTAATTTGTACAAACGGCTCCCACATGTAATCCTTTGGGAGTCTGATGTCAAGGCCTTGAAGTCATCTGAGAAATGTTGCCTTTGGGTGTAAGCCAATATACTATGCTCTGCCTTTCGTAAGTCCTGTACTGTGAGCTCTGCAGGCTTAAAATGCTTTGACACCCTTTTGAACTCTTTCATTTTGTCATTAACAACCTTCTCTTGTTCTATTGGATCCATAAATGTTTTTCTTACTGCTTCTCTCACTTCCTTACGCGTCGTAGCCAATTCCGAAGCTTCCTCCTTTGCT